GGGACCATTCCTACTGATTTTTTCCAGAACTGTACTGAAGTGGTCGATTACGGAATTGTCTTAATTATCACGTTTCATGAAGGGACCTTTCCTACTGATTTTACCAGAACAGTACTGGGTAGGCTGGTTTTTGGACATTAGTCCTGGTTTGTTGTGAGCTGAAACTTTCCTGCAACTGAAACAGTACAGTTCAAGACTACAATTAGCACAATTTAAACAAAAAAATGAATTGTTAATTTTTAAAAATTTATTGAAAGATCGAGTACATTATCTGATATTCAAAGCCAGTCAAAACTAAATGATGCAGCTAAAAGAAATACAATTAATCCAAATAGGCACCACAATAATATTTTTTTTCCAAAGCATGTTTCACTGACAGAAGAGCAGTCCATGTAATCACAAATAACATTTTTTTTCGGACACCCGTGGTGGTAAAAGACAAAAGTGCATCTTTAATGAATTTTTTTTTAAATATGTCGCCCCTACTTAGTAAATGACTATTATTAAAATTCTCTGGAAACTTTGTATCCAAATAAAGTGTTATTCACTTTTTCCCCACACATATTTAAGGAAATTAGTTGTCAAATAAGGTCAGACATCATTAAAATTGTGTTTTTTGTTCAACTGGACTTGTGTGATTTTGAAAATTACCTCATAAAATTAAATAAAACTTCTTTATAAAGTGGATATGGCTGCATGGTGTATTTTATGTTTCCCTACTGTTAGTTAGTGTTCGATTCATAGATATGTAGTTCTACTCTCCCTAAGCCTAAAATTGTGTAGGTGTTCCATTAGCATATGATAAGCACTGTGAATATACAACACTAGTATGGTAATTGATTAACTACACAATCACAGTTCTAAGGTCATAGATTTAATTTTAATCCAAAATTACTCTGCTCTGGCCAAAAACACATTTTTGTCTTTTTTTTGTTGGAGGCCATGACTCGCGTATTCTGTCCGTTCCCAAGACACGCACTAAATTATATGGTGAACGATCTTTCTCTTTCTGCGCCCCCAAACAATGGAATTCTTTGCCACTACACATCCGCAATATAACAACCACACAGGCCTTCAAAACTGCACTCAAAACACATCTATTTAAACTATACTACTCTGACTGATTCTCCTCCTATAAACCGATAAACGTACATGGGTTTCCTTGTAAAAATGTCTGGTGTGGGTGGATGAATATACCTCTGGTGTTGTTTTGCTTATATGTTGTTTTTATTTCATTTATGTATTTTATTTTAATATTATGATTATGCCTCTTTGCTATATTTATGTACAGCGCGGTGAGCCCAGCCCTAGGCCGGGGTACCGCGCTATATAAGACCACTTATTATTATTATACAGGCCTTCAAAACTGCACTCAAAACACATCTATTTAAACTATACTACTCTGACTGATTCTCCTCCTATAAACCGATAAACGTACATGGGTTTCCTTGTAAAAATGTCTGGTGTGGGTGGATGAATATACCTCTGGTGTTGTTTTGCTTATATGTTGTTTTTATTTCATTTATGTATTTTATTTTAATATTATGATTATGCCTCTTTGCTATATTTATGTACAGCGCGGTGAGCCCAGCCCTAGGCTGGGGTACCGCGCTATATAAGACCACTTATTATTATTATTATTATTAGTTAGACATCTAATGGAAGATAAGATCATTTTGCCAAGTAATAAGAGAATAGATTAGTTGGCAATCTAATGGAAGATTGGATCAATTGGCCAACTAATAAGAGAAAATATCAGTTGGCCAACTAATACTTGAAAATAGGAGAATAGGAATCCAGTGGAAGATCAAATCAATAGGGCAAGTAAAAGGACAATACATCAATGGCAATCTAATGGAAGATTAGATCAGTTTGACATCAACCATCCAGCTGATAGTTTTGTTGGTTTAAGCAAATATGAATGTCAACCAAATTTAAATAGCACCTTTGGAAATATGGCTCCTTATTTACCCTTAAAACAGATGGCGTTGACAGTCTCTGACAAGGCTGTGATGGCTGTGTATTTATTTCACCTGGGGGGAACCTATTAATAAAGAATCAGTGTTTTTTTTATTTAGGCAAATGACCCAAAAGCGAATTTTCAATTTTTAAAAAATGCACAGCTTCACTATTAGAATTAGAATACAGAAACAATTTTTTAAATTAAATCTATGAAAAATAGCAAAAAGGATATATTTTTAATAGCACCACCTATTTGTTCTCTCTTCAATCAAGGTTACACTGTTATTGTTTTTTGAGAAACAAATTTCTGAAATTAAATTTTAAAAAAAAAATTGTTAGTATTTGTACTAATCCCCCTATCTCTGCCATACGTACATGTTGACCTGACCGAGATAATTATACTCAAAAGTCACTGGGTTAAATTGGAATATATCTATATAATCAAATAAAGTTTGTTTAGTCAAGCGATTGATACATGAAAAAAAAAACAAAAAAATAAACAACGTTTTAACTGGATACAGAGAGGAATAGGTGAATTTAGGTTCCGCCCAAAGTTTGGTTGATTTCAATGTACTGCGAGACTAAAAGATATGTACCGAATTTCAGCTCCCGGGATTAGCAGAACCTAGGATAGGAGGTGCTTAAAAACGATTAACTATCAAACATCCGCTCATGTCAAGTTAATAATAAGGTATTACAAATATTGAAAAGTTCAAGTTATGAACCATTTATTGTGTCTGGCCGTTTTGGTTTGAGATCCACTTCCTCTTGCTATTCAGCATTTTTATGTTGGCTTTTTATTGATCAGTGTGGATCATTGTTACTGGGTGTAATTCTTCCAGCAGTTACCACAATCAATGGTGGGACATTAGTAACAAAGAGGAGCAACGCTTCATTGATGTATTGTGTATGCCCTAATACACTCTCTGTGTACATAAACTCCATGGCTGGTGGTCTATTCAGTATTCACCGGCCTTTTATGTGGTATTTAAATTGTGGGTTGTCTGCTTTTTAAATATGTTAGGTGAGGGATGAACCTGTTTTATGATGCAACATTTCACACCAGGAGTCCCATTTAGCCCCTTTCAAGTTTGAGAAAGAAAAAAAATTTTGGTTTGGAACTCCATTAAATATTTCTTAAAATGAATCTATCTTTCCATAGATTTTTATTACATTCGAACACAGTGGTGCAATAAGTTTAGAACAACTATTCAGTATGTTACCACTCATTTTTAATCCATTCCCTTGGAATTAGTTTCCCTACTGTTAGTTAGTGTTGGATTCCTAGATATGTAGTTCTACTCTCCCCAAGCCTAAAATTGTGTAGGTGTCCCATTAGCATATGATAAGCACTGTGAATATACAACACTAGTATGGTAACTGATTTACTACACAATCACAGTTCTAAGGTCATAGATTTAATTTTAATCCTAAATTACTCTGCTCTGTTTGGATCCTTTTTGTGTGTTTTTGGTACATTCAACCTGGATTTTAAAAAAAAAAAAAAAAAAAAAAAA